AAATAAAGTATTTATGTCAAATTGCCTAATTACCTCATTCCCATTATATTCATCTGAAAATTTGATAATTGTAAGTACAAATGTAAATCCTTGATATGTGTGTGGCTTAGTTCCGTGACACTTACGCCTCGGCCGTCGGGGCTTACGTCCCAGACACGCCCAACGCCCAGCGTATTGGGCTTGCCTAATAGAACTTTATACAATTGTGTGTAACGAACCTTGCAAATCCTCAATTTTTCTTAATAAATCATTGACTATTCAAAATTACTTTTTTCTTAATCAGTAAATTAAGAGTATTTTATGTCATAATTAAAATTAAAATTATTCCACGTTATCCACTAAGATTGCTATGATAATAATTTTTAAATAAATCTTTCATTTAAAATTATTTATTTATTAACTTTTGTTATGTCTTTATTATATAATAGTCCATAATTTTTTTTAATAATTATTTTCCCAAATATTTTTTTTTCACGTTTACGAGATACAATACTTATTAATTTAATAGTCCAGTATTAGCTAGTAACTATTTACAAATCATTAGTTATCATGGTATGGTATGGTGAATTATGTGTCACTTTATTAACTTGTTGAAACTTAAAAATAAATTATGAGAATCATATTTAAATCGTGAATTATGTTTTTACATAAATTCTCTTTCAAATAGAAAGCATATTAATTAAAAGGAGTATTTAAAAAAATATCAAATTATAATATCAAAATTCTTTCAAAATTCAATACTCCTTAAGAGATACAGATAAGATTTTGCATTGAATATATTACTTTTGTTGTTTGAGTTGCAACGACATTGCAACTAATTTGCATATTATGATATATGTCATGCTTTTTATATTATTCATAGTTAAATTTTATTTTTTAAATTCTTTAAATAGATTTTTTATTATAATTTTTTGATTTTAATGTAATTTTTATTAATATTTTTTATTTTATACTATATTAAAATTCTTGAAATTAGTAAAATTTAAAGATCCGTGGGACTTACGCCCTGTATCTTAGGGTTATGCCTCGCCTCGTCAAACGTAAAACGCCTCGCCTCACGCCCCCGCCTTTTAAAACATTGATGACAAAAGGATTATAAGAAAAAAAAATAATAATAAAAAAGTATGAGATAACTATCATGAGTATATGTTATAAATAGTCAATTGAAATAAATAGTCAACGCATCTAAAAAGTTATAAAAAAAATATACATGACTATTTATTTCAAGTAAAGCCTTATTTTTAGATCAAATTAAAAAAAAGATTAACTAAAACATTATTATTTTTAGCCAAATAAAAAAATTTAGCCTAAATAATGTAGTTCTATCCAAGTTTTATTATAAATTGTATTTGAAAAAAATTATCCAAAAAAGTAACATATTTAAAAAGGTAAAAATATATTCTATTTTTTTTAAAAAAATGTCACATATACAAAAAAATCCACGTGGCAGGCGAGTGCACCCACACTCATTGTCACATCAGTCCAGGAGGGTAGTGATTCTCAAAAGGCCAAGTTGAGGAGGGTCGACGAATAGTTTAAGACTGTAACTAATATTCCGTATCAAATTTAGATGGATGTTAAAGGTATTTTGCCAAACTTTAACGTGGTGAGCTTTACAAGTGCTCATCAGAGAAAATAAGATTAAGAATTACACATCCTCTATATGAAACACTCAAATCTACGGATTAGTGCCCTAGGCTTACTATGGTCATATGTCAAACGGAAACTCAATTGCAATTGTAAAAACTGTCAAAGATCTCTAAGAAAAGAATTTTGTTATGTTCAAGTATATGAGGCATTTTAAGAGTTTTACCAGCAGAATGACGCAGGTCACAGCGATTACCCGCCCTAAACAAATTTTTCTTATCATTTATATACAATCCGTTATTAATGCCTTAAATTGAGGGATTCCGTTACATTTTTTTTTTCTTTTTTCTCTCCTATCCTCTTTCCTTATCCTCTAACCAACTAGTGATGATTGTAACTTTGATACTAATTTCCAAACCAAAATTCAACAAAATTGTTCCAATCAAACCCCACATTCTGATATTTAATTAATCTAAATACTCAATAGAAGAAGCATATCCCGGCTACGTGATGCACATATTTAGGGCGTATTACATAAATCTAGGATTAGATTGCACAAATAAAATATAAACTAATATAAGAGAGGTGATGATAAACAAATGTATTGTAATAACAAGGCAGAATTACCTGGTACGTGAGAGGTAGCAAATATGCAGTTAAATAATCAAAGTGTGTGTAAACTATGACACCAGTTGTATTTTTTTAATTTAAAATAACAGCTTCTAAAACTTCGGAAAATTGAAAAAATTAATACTTCGACTTGAGAGTAGCGGATATAAAAAAAATGTATAACACTGATATCAGTCGAATAGTTTTAACACCTCAAAAAGTCTCAATTACAACTATTGGTTATGGACTCAGATGGAAAGTAATGTGCAGTTTATATGTATATACAATATAAAACCTATACAATAATCTGAGTGGAATGTAAAGGTAATTTTTGTATTTATATACTGTATTTCAATAAGAATCGCTACTTTTGATGGAGGAGCGAGACAAAGGAGAGATAAAAGGTTTGTGTAATGTGGTATGTCCATCTTTATGATACATCTACAATAATATATTATAAACTAAAAATAAATTTCATACAAGTAATTATACAGTATACAATTTATTTATAACTTTCATATATCATTCTTACCCAAGTAAATACAATTACAACAGCATACAACTTAAATACAATTTTTATATAAATTTTATACAATATGTCTTTTGTCTGTATTTTGTATATATTTTGTAAGTGGTGTGTTCTTCTTCCTCTCTGAATTCCAATCAAAACTTTCTATCTTAAAACAATTTTGATACATATCAACAACTTTATGTAAAAAGATAGTATTTATAACTTAAATACAAATTTCATACAACGATTCATACATTATACAACTATTTTCAACTTTCATACCACATTCAAATAAAAAATATATATAATTACAACAGAATACAACTTAAATACAATTTACATACAACTTTAATACAATTTCGTAAGTATATTGTATGTCGTGTGTTCTTTTTCTTCTTCTTCGAGTTTCAATATGAAATTCAGCCAAAATCATGTCTAATCTTCATCAAACACCCTCAAAATTGAGATATAAGCTCCAAAGAATATTCCCAATTATTTGCAACAACACCCAATCCAAACAAAAAATAGTTTTTGAAATTTCAAATTTGAATTCAAAGCTTTAAAGCTTTTCAATGACTGTTAATGGTGGAGAATCAAAAACCTTCAAAATTTATTGATTGACAATTTCAATTCGAACACCAATTGTGCAACATGAAAGAAAATTATTGAAAAAAAGAGGATAAAAAGCAGAGAAAAACGAAGGAAGAAAATTAGGGAAAGAACAAAGAAGGATAGAAAGAGAGAGAGACGGAGAGAGAGAGCAGGGATGAGAAATATATAAATCTCTATTCAATTCCTAATATAAGGGATACTCATTAATACTAATTATATATAATTGGTAAATTGTATAACAACAACAACAACCCAGTATACTCCAACTTAGTGGGTCTGGGGAGGGTAGTGTGTACGCAGACCTTACCCCTATCTTGGGGTAGAGAGGTTGTTTCCAAATAGACCCCCGACATCCCTCCCTCCAAAAACTTCTTACCTTGCTCTTGGGAAGACTCGAACTCACAACCTCTTGGTTGGAAGTAGAGGTTGCTTACCATCAGAGCAACCCCTCTTGTCTAATTGGTAAATTGTATATAAGCTAAAATTTGATTAGGGAGGATAATAAAGTTTCATATGTAGTATACAAAGGTAAAAATCCCATATTAGTATTGGTAAAAGTTGCACGGGGCGCCCTATTTGGTTGCCTCCATTTAACCTATAACCATTTTTTTAAAAAAGTTTTAACTTGTACCCACTTTTTAAACAATTTCAGCCCCCTTTCTCCTCCTCCCTCTCCTCCTCAAAATTATATCCGCCCTCAAAGTAATATATTATTGTTGTGGATACAGGATTATATCAGGTAGAGTTTGTTTTGCTTTTTCTGTTTTAATTGGCCTTCTAAGCATGTTGCCAAGATGGTGTCAGTTCCATTTACGTCAAAACTCCACTAGCTTTTCGTTGTGTCCCCCTTCCCTTCCCTCCTCTTTCTTTTGGCGGTGGTGGGAATTGGGGATTATTTTTCAAGAGGAAGTCTTGAGGCTTGCCTTAGATAGGGAAGTAGAAGTCATTGCAGGCAGCATGAGAATTGGATTACCCAAAAGAAAAACATATTTGTGAATACTTTCAACGTTCGAATCATATGGAAAGTCAGTTAAAACTTTAACTCTAAGAAGGCTGAAGTTCGCCAATTACAAACAAAAACTTCGCCAGTTACAAACAAAAATTTCAGCTTTAGAGCTGAAGTTCGTCAGTTAAAAACAAAAACTTCAACTCTTGAGCTGAAATTCGCCAGTTACAAAACAAAAACTTCAGTTCTAGAGCTAAAGTACGCCAGTTACAAAAACAAAAACTTCAGCTCTAGAGCAGAAGTTTGCCAGTTACAAAACAAAAACTTCAGCTCTAGTCGCCAGTTACAAAAACAAAAACTTCAGCAAATAGAGAACAAAATTTCACCTACTATGCTTAAGTTCAGCAATTACAAACAAAAACTTCAGCACACTTGGTACTTCAGTCCCGTCTACTAGAATGCTGAAGTTTTGCATGATTGCCTTTGCTACTTCAGCCCCGTATGCTGAGGTTACGCGAAAAAGTGGGTACGTTTGCAATTTTTTTTGCAAAGCGGGCACAAATTAAAACATAACCCAAAAAGCGGGTATAAATGTAAATGCCCATTAGTATTGTCTTCTAATACTGAATAACAAGCCCACAAGAACATTGGCAACAGAAATCAATGACAAGAACCAACATATTGGTAGAGGAAGTATCTTATATATATACACATGCTTTCTTAACATGAGTAGAGTGACACCAGGTAGCATGCTGCATTTTTTAAATAATCGACAGTATCTATAATATCTTTTAAACCAGACTGAACTTGCCGTTTTATTCTCTACACTAGCAGACAAGTTAGTTCCTTGCTATTCCAATATAAAAAAATACAAGAAAGAAAAGGTAGTAAGTACATAGGAACAAATAATAGAAGAAGCTACCTATATTTTATGACATTGGCTTTTAATTGCTATCTTCTAATTTTTCAGAACTATGAAATTCTATTAGGCCCAAGGTAGGGAACCTGAATATGGAGCTGTTCCACAATATCTGAACAAACCCTCAATTTCAGGACACCCATTAGGATAAGGGATTGAACGATGAAAAGGATCACGACCAAGTTTCTTGCGACGAAGAGAACCTTTACAGCCGTAAGGATCTTCTTGAAACTGTGTTCTCACCAGTGCTTCTCCTTTTAAAGCTGCTTCCCTTGAAGTTTGGGAAGATGATGTCCCTGAATAAAAGAATCTTGTTTCTGGAAATCCAATTGCAGACCGATGCAGATGCTTAAATCTCTTCTCCTTGAAATCATATCCTACAACCTACACAGTAGTTGAACAAGTTTATTGAGACCATGCTACTCCTTTCCTTGCATAGGAACTCACTTAGCATCTCCATTAAAAATACAAATCGAGAGACGGACTAACAAATATTAAAGAATTGCTGATCATGACCATCATATGTGAGCTCACTACTAAGATCTTGCTACTTCTTCCGCCGTATAAGAACTCACTAAGCATTGCCACCACAAATACGAACCGAGAGACGCAGAAAATTAGAAATTGCTGATCATAGCCATCAAATGTTAAGTACTTAATTTGGAGACCATAGACAAATGAAGATTCATGTACAAACAACTACTACGCCTCAGTCCCGAACAAGTTGAGGGTCGGCTATATGAATACACCTCTGTGATCTATGTTCACATTGCCAGTTGCAAGCCCAGATAAAGAAGAGTTGTGATAGGCTGGCAGCCAATGTAATACTAGCCAATTTATGATGAATCCACACCATACAAAATGAAAAGTCATGTAGCCACATAAATTTTAAAATACACCAAAACATAAATAATATTACATGGAATAAAGATGATATGGGAGAAACAAACTTTCTCAATACTTGTGCAACAGATATCATCAAAGCTGCTAAAATGAATACTTGAGTTGTTAGATCGGAACCAAGTGAAAATTTAATTGAGAAGAGATTAAAAAATTGCCGGATATAGAGAACACAATAACAATAAGCAATAAGCAGGACCACTAAGTCATTGAGCATACACCAATACATCTTCCACTACATGATTAATATAAGAGTCTGAAAAGTCTTCGGTAGATACAAAGGGCATTATTTTAGATTCTTGAGACAGAGCTCTTGCTATATAATACCTGGAGCTAGTACTTCCCTGTTGAGATTATTATATCAGCATCATTTGGATCTTCCCTAATGTGCTGGTAATGGGGAAGCCCAAAGGCTATTTCCGTAACCCAACACACAGTGACGGAGCCAGAACTTTCGTTAAGGGGTGCCAAAATATATAAAAGTAAGCATACCAAAAAATTAAGGGGAGTCAATACATAGTATACATACATACATACATACATATATATATATATATATATATATATATATATATATATATGTNCCGCCACTGCCAACACACATGGCAACCATCTGTCCTTTCTATAAACACATCAATGATTGAACGTTCAACTTCTCATTATAAGCTAAGGAAAATGTCACGTCTCTTCTATTACGTCCTAACTCCTGAGTTCCATTGCACAGGAGTATGTTTTTGGCGGTAGTATACAAAATACAAACAGCTCCATAGGTTCTACCACTAGACATAATTTTATTTGGGGTATCATGCTGAAAAGAAAAAAATCCAAAGCTGTAACAACAATACTAGGATCCTTTGAATTTATGTTTGTAAGTTTATTTAGCATAAAAGTTGGCAACAGCTTATGGAGGTATACTGCTTTGATTGCTATGTGCTGAACGTTTGTTGGGCAAAACACAAGGGAGTAATCACTGCCTTCAACACATATGTGGAATACTCAGATGCAAAGGCATCAAGTGCAAATCTCTTCGTGTTTGTTTTAGATATGCAGATCAAAAGCTAGGCATTTTCTTACTTAAATCTATTGCCTTTAGTTCATTTTTTATGCATCTTATCGGTATTTGTGATTGCAGATATCGCCACTGTTAAACAGTTCAATAATGAAAATCTTGGGATTTCCTTTATATATTTTATACATGACATTTAGATTTTTAGCTATAGAAGGTAATAAATGGCTTACAGTTATATTATGTGGATAAGTGCCAGTAAGCTCTCTGAACCGACAAACGCTAAAGAGAAGATTCTCAAAACTGTCCCTCGCATGCTCTTCAGTGAGTGCCCTCCCTCTTACACTTTCTTGCTTGCCTGCATACAAAGTGGACAACTAGCAATAATGTTTTTATGGTCATGTATCGGTAAAGAAATTATGGTCGCGTATCTATGATACTAGATTTTATCATTACAAATGAATTAGAGGCCACAAAAAAGAGACGAAGTGAGAGAGACGTTAATAACTTCGTTGAAGGAACGGATTATAGTTTACGAATTTGTGAATCGTTTGGTCAATGCTTCTCAGTTCCAAAAATTACTTTCATGAGGGTGCCGATCATGTGAATTGTGAAGAGGAACAATTATTTTTGAAATGGGAAAATCCAGTGAAAATCTTTCAATAAAATGGCTGAGCAGTTGGACTTAGATCTTACAACTGTGTAACTGGAGAATGAACCAATTTGCAAGCTAGATGCGCTATCCTGGTGATATATGAAAAGATGAAAAGCCAGTTCTACTGAACAAGATATAAAGAAATCACAGGCATATTAAGGGCCACCAAATATGAGAGGTATGTACCAGATGGAAGATCATATGACAAATTGAAATTAATCTTAGATATGACACTCAATGCTTTTGTTCTCTTGTTGACTGGGAAAAGATGGCAGCGGTCTGAGGAATTAAAAATTAAGCATTTCAAACATCCAGATTATCTCATAACATAGAGCTCCCATCATATAACAAATGACAATCGCTTTGCATCATGTATACTCCAGCACCTTTCAGCACAGATGGGATTACATGAATCACAAGTCCAGTGAAAAGAAACACTTCTACCTAGTAATGATCCTCCGACGACCAACACAAAAATGGGAACATAAAATTTATTAATATAGCCCAAATTTAGTATCTAGCTTTGACCTCCACCTCTAATTAACTAAACAGAAATGCAGCCATGGATCACCATATCTGATGGAGTTACATCACTAAATTCTTGCGTTGTCACCACTCTTAGTTGAAGGAGCGAACTACGGTTATAAACTTGCGAATCTTTTGGTCAATGCTTCTAAGGTCTGAAAATTACTAGCATGAGGGTGCTAATCATGTGAAGTGGAACATTTATTTTTGAAAATGGGAAGAATTGGAATTTCAGAAAAATGACTGAAATAATCACGATTTAGGTCTTAAAACTATGTATCGGGAGGATGAACCTTCTGCAAACTACACACGCTATCATGGTGATATCTGAAAAGATGAAATGCCTGTTCTAGTGGATAACATATAACCAAATCTCAAACCTAGAGCCACACAAAATGTGAGAGGCATGTTTAAGATTGTAGTTCATATTACAAATTGGCATCAACCTTAGATATGACAAATTGAAACTAACCTTAGATATTCCACATGCTTCAGATATCTCAGCTTATTTCAACAATGAAGTATAATACAAGGGTTTGGAAGTCTAAAAATACAATAATACAGTCGAACTTTCGCAAAGGAGCAGCAGACCATAGCTCTTCAGTCGGTTTATTTGCTCTAATCAATTTAGTTTACTATACACAGAAATGATTATGTTATACAATTTCAGTTCGATATGAAGCATGTGGGCTACTAACCAGAAGCCACGGAAACAAGAACTCACCAAACCACCCTTTAGATTCAGCAACAGTCCAGTAACTTTGAGCTTCACTTCGCGGCCCAGCATCTTTCCTCGTCTCTCCACCACTGAAGAGGAGCAATGCATCATCGTCATCCGCTGTAATTTCAACCCCCTTCTGTATATGTTGCACAAAGGTTGCAGCTTGACCAGGGTGCTTTTGATAAGACTCTAAAAACCAAGAATCCTCCTTATCAACTTTCTCACAACTACTACTTGTATAAACTGAATGTCCAGCAACCATAACAAGATTCCTAAACTTAGAAAATGGATATGCAGCATCCACACCCTTATCAAATCTTGCATAATTACCATTCATCCGAAATCGCCTTTCAGAAACAGATAATACAATAAGAATAATGACCCCAATTGACAAGGATATCATAAACAACATAGCTGGGTGAAGCTTGTAATAACTATGAATTCGTTTTCCCAATGATTTAAGCATTTTGATGGGGTAAAAATTTGAACCTTTTACCTTTCTTGATCTTTTAAGGTTCCCAGATTCCAAGTCAAAATCACCCCTTGGATATGCCTTGTAAGATTTGGGGCTACTAGACCCAAATGAATAGTTTAACTTCATAGAATGAATCCAGCTTCAAAAGCATACCCAAGAAACAAATTTAAGTCAATAAATCAGTGGAAAAATTATTAATGCAAGCAAAATTGTTATTCTCTAGCAGCATCCAATCAATATGAAAACAAAACAAAATTCTCTATGTCCACCTTCAAATCAGGGCAAAAATTGAGGGAAGAACTCACTCGGTAGAGAAATTTAAGAGAATTTTCAACAGAGCATCTGAGAGATCAAAACGAACTGTCGATCAGATCGGAAAAGTCAGCTTCACTAGATGAATGATTATAAGGTTTTGTTTGTTTAGTAATTTTAAGTTAAGGTTGTTGCTGGGTTTCAGACAGAATCATAATAAAAAGGAAGAAAAAAAAAGGATGCTAAGAGAGATCTCTGTAAATATTTTATAAAGCAACTATCGTTGCCTTAATTTCACTTTAATCCTAAAGTTTTGAGTAATATTTACACAAAAATATCCAATAGTTACGGAACCTTCTTTTTCTTTGGTCCCTAAAGGACAGGTGGAAAACTAAGTTTTAAAAATAAAATTTTGAAATCTTGAGAAGGAAACCTCCATCCCAATTCCGTTGTATCATTTCCTTCAATTATGAGTTGTCCTTCCCCGACGAGTGGTTTAAAATATCTCTACAGTTTATAATATATAAAGATTAACTAATTTGTTCAAACTTCAAGACACAACGTACTAAAGTTTAAATTTTAAAATTCAAATTTCAGGACATTATGAGTGTGTTTGATATGAATGGACAGAAAATATTTTTCAATTTTTCCATGTTTGGTTGGCTTAAATATTTTTGAAAATATTTTCCTTATGAACTCATTTTCCTCCAATTGGAGGAAAATGTTTCCTTATCAGAGAAGGTAAAACATTTTCCAAAACTCCTTCTCAACCTTCCTCACCCTCACCAACCCACCCCATCCCCTTTCTAAAAAAGGTTTTTTTTTTCTTTTTCACATTTCAGTTTTTTCGTTACCACCCACCCTACTACCCCTCCACCTCTCCCCTAAAAAAAAAATTTTATTTTTTTACCTTAATTTTTTTTTTACAATTTTAAATTTCTATTTTTTCGTTTTTCTGCACCACTCATCCCAACCTCCCCCCACACAA